GCTAATAGACGTACGTGTGCCGTACCGAAACCGATGGCTTTGCTCCAGTCTTCGATTTCCGGGGCTTGGTCCGTTTCCTTAGGATTGCTATTGGCATATTATCTCGGAAGAGCATGTCTTTGGACGTCAGAGCGGTTTTTAGGTCTTGCCAATTGGAATTATACAAGAGGTGTACTACTTGAAGGGGGCGCTACTGCAGTCCGTCCGCACATGATGGCAACATCTCACGGCAATGCATAAATCTTATTCATCGGACCGAAGTCTTGCAGTTCCACCGACATTGTCAGCACGATGTGTTTAGTTCCAATAAGTGTGAATCGCATTATCTGGACTCGTGTGTGAGGTGCACTACTTTAAGAGGGTGCTACGACAGTCCCTGCGCACGACATGATGGCAGCACCTCACGGCAACGGAGTAACCATATTAATTAAACCCAAGTATTGCAGCTTAAGGGACACTGCCGTCACGATGTGTTTGGTTGTAGTAAGTCCGAGTCGCATTATCGGGACTCGTGTATGAGGTGCACTGCGCTAATAGACGTTTATGTACCGTACTGAAAACGTTGGCTCGGCTTCGGTGTTGGGTTCCCGTGGCTCGGTCCGTTTTTTAAGATTGCTGGAAATGCTCCAGTTTAACCGACATTGTTGGCTCTTTCTCTGTGTTGTCTGCTTGGAAATATCAATTAAAGCTTCAGAACTGGAATTAAATTAGGAGTGCAATAATAAGGTAAGAAGTAGAAAGAAGTGCAATGCTAAGGTAGGAGTGTAGGCGCCTTTCTGGTCTGCGCGCGATGGGCCATAAGCTATCAAATATTTGATAAAAATGATCAAACCATGTTACGTTTGAAGGCTCAGCGCACCAACAGACCATTCGAGACACGAATGTGCAGAACTGGGATACTTTTCTTGGTTTCCCGTATATCCGTGATTTGGTGTTTATATTGCCCTTTTAGTACATGTTATAAATGGTCTGCTGCCTGCGTGTTAAACATCACATAACTGGTTCCTTGCTGAAATTATAATATTGTCGAATGGCGATTTCTTAAAGATGATAGACAATCATGCGAGCATTGTGAGTAGCAATGGTCGAAACGACAAAATGAATAATGCCAACTGCCTGCTCATTATTTATGGTGCTAAAGATGTTGTTTGGGTTGTAAGATTTCAAAGTTGGGCAATTCTGCTAACGCGAGCTGGTTGTGCCCGTTTCGTTCAGCGCAGAAAACACTCGCGTTGGAGATTTTTGTTCTTCTAAAAAAGGTGAAGTACTTGAAGAATCCTGCCACAGCCCCCCCCCCCCCCCTTGATTTGAACCCTCGCCCCCCCCCCCCTCCCAGCTTAGAGAAGAAAGTGGGATACGCTCCAAGTAGACATCACATAATTTTCAGGTATCAAAAACAATCAGGTTTCAGCCTGTGGCTGGACCATGCTGTGTGCTTTTTTTGCAGCTTGTTGGAACCAAGGGCAGTCATAGGAAAATATTAACAGCAAAAGCAGCAATCAAAATACAAATATTGTGATTGCTAGAACCACCCAAAATCCATAAAATGTATTCCTATGTTGTGTTACATATGGAAGGAGAGTTGGGTTTAATGGAGTGGGACCAAAGTACAATGAGGTGGATAGGGTTGGTCCAACTGGTTACCATGTGCTGAGCTCATCTGTGTGTTATGTGGTTGGAGATAATACCTAAGTTTTGTTGTAATGCTGTGAAACAATGAATATTGATTGGTTGCTTTCTCTCATGACAAGCTATATGCCAGCATAGGTATATATTGGTGCCTAACATTAAAAAAGAGCGTTGTACGTCATTGTACATTTTTGTACATCATTCATCATGTTTAAGGCAGAACACACTGTAAATAATCACAAAACAGGTACATTTATGCTCTTACCTTCAATTTGTAATAATTATGATGGCAAGCTCACAAGCGCCGCAAGCATGCAACAACCTCGACCCCCAGGGCCATTGCTACCTCATTGATGCATAGTCACAACATAAGGCGTCATATTTGCCCCCCCCCCCCCCAGGCCGACCGATCTACAAGCGGTACGGAAGACTGATTGGAAATGCAAGAAACATATTTCATTGCATTCCTGTTACTTTGGCCCCATACATTTGTATGGTTGTTGATACGCGGTCATGTTGACCACGTACGCACCGACGCACGCAACGTAGCAATGGCGCCGGGGTTGCGGTTGCTGTATGTTTGCAGCGCTCGGATGTTCGCCATTGTAATGGGTTAAGTTCGAAGGTAAGAGCACAGATGTACCTGTTTTCCGATCATGTGCGATTGCGATATACGCACGCTCCCACCGGTATCAGAAGACTGGCGACCCGGTGACCGCTGACTGCGGCGGCAGGTTGGCCGCCGCCTCCGGCGGTCGGCCGCAGAGGCGCGCCCAGGCACGCCCAGGCACGCGCACCAGTAACGCAATACACCACACGATATATTCTGCCTTTAAAACGAGAATTGATGTACATTGCTCTTTTTTAACATTAGGTACCAATGTGCACCACGACCTATATACCTATCTTCATTTTCCTCCCAGATTGGTAAGGTCTAAAAAGACATGCAAACATACATACATGCAAATGCCGGCAACTCAGATTGCAGAGCCTCGTGGATCTGCCACTGTGAAACCTTCACTACTGGATGCCCTATACCTAATTCCCCCTTGCAGTTTGAAGTGTGGTGGCCCTAGGCCAGGCCAAAAGTCATCAAATTTCACAGTCTAAAATTCTTGCTTGCAGACGACTTATAGCTCAGAAGCTACCATGCTGAGAGCTGCCAAACATTTCCATTCAGTATGTCATTCACCCTAATTCTTTGTTGAAGCTGCAGGTATGGTACCATTTATAATTACGCCTTTCCCCTCATGTTTGTTCCCAAGAAAAAGTGCAGCTTGATTGGGCTGGCCTTATGAGCTTGGCTTTCTCCTTAGCCGAGGTGTTAATTGTGGCGACACCATCCCCAATTCAGCGCCCAATTCAGGACGTAATTTTCAGCACAACACATTTGCTACCAAGAACTTCAACCTCGTAAGTCAGTCTGAGCCATCTGCACTTTTCTTGGGAAGAAACATGAAGGAAAAGGCATAATTATAAATGTCACCATACTTGCAGCTTCAACAGAGAAATAGGATATATGGCGTACTGAATGGTAAGGTTTGGCAGCTATCGGCACGCTAGATTCCGAGCTGTAAGCTGTCTGCAAACAATCATTCCGAATTTTGTGAAATTTTACAACTTTTGACCTGGCCTAGGGTCACCAAATTTTAAACTGGAGTGGGGAATCAGGTATGAGCATCCAATCGTGAATGTTTGGCCGTGATGGGTTTGGTAGGTTCTGAGCTATAAGCTGTCTGCGAACAAGAATTTTGGACTTCGTGAAATTTGATAATTTTTTAACTGACCTAGGGTCATCAAACTTGCATGTCTGCATCATAGGTCAGCTTTTTAAACCCTTCCTCCCAAATTAAAAAAGAAAACAACATGGGAGGCTGCTTCCTCTCATGACAGGCATGTCTGTCCTTGTTTTCCTCCCAGATTGAAAAAAAAACACCAACAAAACATGGGTCATGCTGAACATGTCCACTACATTGAACATGACATATCCAGCATATGAGTTCACTTGTTGCTCAGCTTATGTGTGTGGTAAACATGTGCAGGAGAAGGTTTTTTGCAAACATAATCAGTGTGTAACCAGGGAATGAGTATTAAAAAATGGCAAAAATGTGTGGCATTTGATGGACAGCCTGGTACACTGTGATACGTTCCACTTTAAAGTATTGTCCTATGTTTGAAAATATAAACACAAGCATCATTTATAATGAAATAAGCTAACTTAAAGCTATTGCTGTACCTTTAAATGGAAAAGACTACTCTGTAAGATAAAAACTCTTAAGTAAATGCGCTCATTAATATGTCATTGCTTGATGATGTCATGTAATGCTTGTATGGCAGCACTCACTTGTAGTTCTTCAATATCCAGATAGGTGGCCTTATGGGGCTGTGCTGGATGTTTCTTGTGGTGTTTAAGCACATTTATCAACTTCCTTATCAGATGCTGTCAGGTGATTTGAGGTGCTTGTTTGTATGCACACCCTTGGTTACAACACCATTCTTAGTCATTCAACTACATAGCTTTTTCTCTGTAATAATTGGGAGCTTTTAGTTTTTTTCTGTTTATCAGAGTTTTTGATCACACTACCTGTAGTGGTCATTTGGTGCTGTAATAATCAGGAGGAATGTGTAACTTCTTGCATCATTTAGCACAAAACATAATTTGTGTTAGAATCTTGCGTAGCTTGCACAACATCATTTGAGAGTGAGAGCCAGTTGATGCCAGATATGAACACACAACAATATATTGTTCTTGCCTTGAATGCTACATGGCAGGAGGAATGACATGATTTGAATGATGCTATTATGGCATCATGGATGCCTGGGTAACCTTGCAATACTCTGCACAAAATAGTCTGCACAAAGTTATGGGCATTTAGCTCGGAAATTAGCTGGTTTAGGTCTTAACAATGGTGGGGCTGCGAATCGCGCCAAATAGTATTCAAGATGGCTATTTCGGTTAAAAGCCCCATACAAATTTGGAACAATCCCTGTAGATGGAGACAACACTATGCCAATGTTATACCACGAACAGGGCAAAATTATACATGTTTAACTTAAACATAAGCCACTGTTGGGTAATGAAGTTTGCCCAACTTGCTGAAAATTTTACATCGTCCATATAGGCATTGACTGGACAGGAATAACTAAAAATGGGCACTGCCCCCTTACTTTAGGACAACTTCCTGCATCCATAAATGTGGCTGGCAGGCAAGTCATCTGAATCGCAAAAAAAAAAATCATTCCTTGCCTGAATTGGTATAGCAGGAATGTGATGTCTCATCTGAATAACAAACATGAAGAACAGACATATTCTAAGACGCTGCTGTTCCCTGAGCCTGAGTGTTTCAACTTGGGGCCTGGCTTTGCTGCAGCTTGGAGTCTGAATACCGGCCTCCACCGGCCCAGATGCCCAAACTGACGGACATCGGCTCCCGGGTCCTGTTCACGTCCGATCACGACATCTTCCGTGAATCTGTCCGCAAGTTCTTCGAGACAGAAGTCAAGCCTCACCATGCTCAGTAAGGGTATATTGCAAGTCTGTTTGCTTTCCTGTCAGTGCCATTAATGTCCATTTAATGTTGCTTACATGCCATGATGCTTGCAGAATGCACATACTTATTTGTGATGCTGGGCATCAGTGAGGTGTCGTGTTTCATGAATCAAATCGCTCTGACACAGGAAGATACTGTATCATCAGACTCATGACAATTTTCATCTTTTTGCTGGGAGCCACTGTTCATTCTAACCACAATCCCGGTTAGAATGGAGCCTGGTCAATAGCCACTGCCTTGTGCCTGTGTGGACCGTGGTGTCAGGCTGCGCACTGTGCAATATTCTGAAAGCCCAATTTTTGTGCATCAGCGTTTTCAGAGGGAACCCGATTTGTGAAAATAGCATGGGGATTTACAGGTTTTGGTTATTTTGCATCGTGATGATTTGGTTGCAGATCGAAGGGACAAGGACATACATCAGGTAAGTACCCCCAACCCCCATACGTCTCACTCCATTAATTCAAAGCTCAAAAAAGCAAGGAAAAACAAAGCATGGGATCCTCCGTTGATTGAAAGCTCCATCAGAAACTAGGAGTTTACACGTCGTATGCCCGACGTTTCTGCTCGTGGTATTACCCTATTTCGGCGCCATCCCATCTGACTGCATGCCTGTCTGCGGTGCGTCACCAGGTGGGAGAATGGCGGCCAGGTGAGCCGCGAGGTGTGGCTCAAGGCTGGCGAGCAGGGCCTGCTCGGCGTCAACACGCCCGCAGAGCAGGGCGGCATCGGCGGCAACTGGCTCGACGCCGCCATCGTGCTGGAAGAGCAGTGAGTCCTAGCGATAGGTTTCTGTGACCACACTTGACAGCCACGTTAGCAAACTCATGATGCTTCTGCGCTTTGGAATATAAATAGCCATTCACCATGATTGGTTAGTACTTGACCAGCCTTGAAGACCCGAGACTGGCTGCGAAGGAAGGTTCGTGACCTATTGTCAGTGAGCATTGTTGCGTTTTGCTTGACTTAACGGATGGGCTGTGATGCTTGTCAGGTTTTGGATATCTGTAAGATTCACGCAGCTCACTTGCCACCAGGAATGCGTCCCTGGTCGTTTAGTGCACGCTCACGCGTCCGTGGAACAGACCGAATCCATGCCGTGCGCTTCCGCCCTGATCATTCGATTTCGCTCTGTCATCTCTCCATGCAGCTGACCAGTGTACTTGCAGGTCCTACAGCAATTGCTCTGGCCCCGGATTCGGCATCCACAGCGACATCGTGATGCCGTACATCTCCCACTATGGCACGCAGGAGCAAATAGAACGCTTCATTCCGAGTCTCACGGACGGTTCCAAAATAGGAGCCATCGCCATGACCGAGCCGGGTGCCGGCAGGTAGGTCACCACGGAGTCGGGTTGCACCAAGGAGATTAGTGGCCAACCGACAACGTACTGCAGCGGTTCGTCGATGTAGACGAGGGCGTTTTCAACCGTATACCTCGGTCTTGGTATGCTTTGTTCATGTTAAAGATCGTTTGCTGCATCGGACACCTTCAGCGCGCTCGGCACATGACGCTGCCTGATCCGTCCTGATATCTCCCACAGCGACCTGCAGGGTATCCGCACAACGGCGGTCAAGGACGGCGACGACTTCATCCTGAACGGCAGCAAAGTGTTCATCACCAACGGCTTCATGTGCGACGTGGTGATTGTGGTGGCCATCACGAACCCGACGGCCAAGTCTCCGGCGCACGGCATCAGTCTCCTCCTGGTGGAGGCCGGCACGCCTGGCTTCCGCAAGGGCCGCAAGCTGCACAAGATGGGCATGAAGGCGCAGGACACGGCCGAGCTGTTCTTCGAGGACGTGCGCGTGCCGCGCTCGGCTTTGCTCGGTCCCGAAAACGGTGGTTTCTATCAGCTCATGCAGGAGCTGCCGCAGGAGCGGCTACTTCTCGGCCTCATGTCAATGGCCGGCAGCGAGTGGGCGTTCGAGGAGACGCGCGAGTACCTGATCAACAGAAAGGCGTTTGGCAAGACGCTCAGTAACCTACAGGTGCGCCCGGAACGTCCGTGGGGAAGGCGGCGATGTGTGGAATAAGACTGGGGAGGGGGAGGGGAAGTTACAAGGGTGTGCTTATGACGTCCGTTACATGAGCGAAGAGTGCTATGGTCTCTGGTCAGACATGTTCCGTCTCTGTGATGTAGCCGCCGGCGGCCGCTGACTCGTTGCGCATGTGAGAGGCTGGGCTAAACAGGACCCCGGGCCGTCGCGGCTGATGGCACGATGATGTCCTTCCTTCGCCAGACGATCCAGCACCGTCTGGCGGCGATGAAAACGGAGCTGGCTGTGTGTCGCGCCTTCACCGACCAGTGCATCGGGCTGCATGCGCGGGGCAAGCTGGACGGTTCCATGGCTTCCATGAGCAAGTATTGGACGACCGACATGCTGAACCGAATCGTGTACGAATGTGTCCAGCTGCACGGCGGCTGGGGCTACATGTGGGAGTACCCTATCTGCCGGGCCTACGTCGACGCTAAGGTAGGAATGTGGGAGATAGCGGGTGGCGATGGGGTCCCAGCGTTAAGCGACCAGAAGTGGTGAATGCCAATGAGTGTTGAGTGCATAGGGGTGATTCAGCTAAGTCAGCCGAATTTGCAGCATTCGGGAAGGAGATACCGAGGATGGTAGATTGCTGGGTACCAGACACGGGAGTTTGCAGGTTATAAGGTGCACATAATGTTATTCTGTTGCTAAGTTGACCCCTGTCTTGCACCGACGTTTTGGCAACGTCGGTGCAACGCATCCTCTTCATTCAATATGAAGAAGCACTGTTTATTTGGTGGGTCGGCTTGCCGTTGAGGAGTCTGAAGAGGGACAGAGTTCAGTCTGCGTCAAGAGTGCTCTGGTGGCAAGACCATAATCGATGATGTGGGTCATAAACCGCATGAAAAGTTCTGGATATCCCGATGCCATAATCCCCGATTCGCAATGCCGGTAAACAGTCCTTGATTGCGATGTTGGCCCGAGATGTCAATTATATCTTTCGTTGGGCTGTGATGAATCTCACAGTTTTTTGTTTTACTTGGCAGACAGTGGAAAAGATGTTGATGGCATTAACGCTTAAGCCTCACCAAAAAATATGTTGAAAGATTTGTCACATTGCGGGTTGCTTTCGGACGTAACATTATGGGCCAGCAATAGTTCAAACCAGCTACCAGCTATGCAGCTGCCATGTGTCCGTACCCTGTGAGGCCCGTCATCTAGCCATAATTTACATAATTATTATTGTAGTCTAAAAGGCGAATTTCTGTCAAAGCGATAAGCGCCGCTGAAATTCTGGCTCAGTCTCCTAGGTAGTGCGGCTGTCCGCACGCCTGTGATACGGGTGATCCATGACAATGGTTGCATGTCCAAACTAAATAGCATCACTCGGACTAGAAATCCCTCGGGGTTGTAGAGGCATTGTTCCGCTACTTGAAAAGACCATGTTCGACCTATATGGTTTGTCATAGAGTTCATAGGTATCACAAGTTCTGGACTCTGGACTGTCATTTGCGTACTTACGCCTTGAGGACGAATCTCCAATAATATGACTCAGTGGCTAGTGCCCTGTCAGGCAGCCCGCTGACGACTTCGCTTGATTTCCATCGGTCGAAATGGAACTCGGAGGGCCTGGCTCTGGATATAAGTCACTGGTAGCGCCAGTGTGTCATCCGCGTAAACTCTGCCACTTGTTACTACATTATTACACCACTGTATCAACGCATTGCGCCTCTTAATATTTAATGCTTTTCACAACTCAAATGACCATAAGGTGGTTTCTTAAAGACGATGGCGGTTTATCACCACGTTTTTCCGTATGCACAGCGATCAGCTCGTAATCGTGCTGTTTGGTCATCGTCACCATCTTGAACCCTGCCATAAACAATGTTCATAGGATTTTTCCTTGCTTTACTTCGTGCATGAAAGGTTCTGTCCTCTACAGATTATTAACACAATTTCAAGTCCGTTACCAAACGTTTTGATGCTGTAAAGACTCAAAATATGTCGGTGAATTCAGTTAATCGCCCGTTTGTCCAAAGAACGCCGGTTGGGAAACATCCCCACGTTTAGTGAGTTTACCATCGACGTTGTGACAATGACATATGACATATGACGCTATGGCTGTTTGTTCCAGGTTCAGACCATCTACGGTGGAAGCAACGAGATCATGCGTGAACTGATAGCCCGTCCCATAGTGTCCAAGAAGTGAGCGAATCCACTGGTGTCGTGTTTTTGTGCAATATTCGAACATTGCAATGTGTCATCTAGGCAACTGACTGCATGTCGAAATTTCCAAACTGAAAATGCTGTCGGAGAAAATGCTGGTTATTCAACTGGAGCCGTCAGCCTGTAATCCGCGGCCGCGGGTGATTTGCGTCCTATCGTCATGTGTCATTCTTTTCACATGCGGTGATGTGACGTCGACCCATGTCGCATCAGCCGCTTCAAAACTGGTCCGCTCTTTCCAGACCGTTGTTGTATCGTATAATGTTTCCATCCAGCGAACGATACGAGATATTATGTTGGTATTTGGAGGTATTTTACGGCTGTTTTAACTATGGTGCGGGGACATAGATCAAATGAGAGACTAATCGACGCAATGCTAATAGTCAGTTATATCGCTGGTGAGCTTCGGACACTAATCGTGTCATGACGTTGTGCTATCCTAGTGTCGATGCTGAGTGTTTTAGATGATCGATGGGCCGCACGTGAGTGCTGCATGTATGCCCAGTGGTCTTCCAGACCAAGTGGATAGTGCTAGCATAGAGTATTCAAATGTATGTCTGCGGATTAAGGCATGAAGAAGTGAGGTGCTGAGCTTTGTGATGCGTAAGATATGAATGTGATCATCGAAGTGTTGTAGAAACAGACCGTACATATTTCCAAAGACAATTTTGTAGGGTGCGAGGAATCGTGTAACTACAATAGCACGTAATACATGCAAGCAAAAGTACGAATCTCTCAGGCCAGCACATCAATACCTATACGGCATCATGCTGGTGGAAACGGTAATTTGCCTATAGCCGTGCGGTTGACGGAACAAGGATCTATGCTGGACGAGGTTCTTTGGAACACATCCACGGGGTCTCAGTATCAGTCGATGGACGGGGCGCAGCTGGTCCGAAACACACCATGTTTTGTAACCGATCAATCTGTATGTATCAATCTGTAATAATCTAAATATTCCAAACAAATTTATCAAAACTATCGCTAAGAGAGCCACGCTGCTGATTGCAACCCTTCCAGCAATGCTTACCATCGCGTCGATCTGAAGCCTGTGCGGAGCATGGGACCGACTAGCCGCCGCTGTGATTACTCATGTCAGGCTGCCGATTGAAGCAGGGGTGCGTTGACCGGCCGACCTCCGCTGTTGGTGTTCTGCCGCCAAACGCGGGATCAGGCTGCCAGTCCGGGATAGTTTGGCCATGTCCGCAATATTGTCCGCAATAAGATGATCTGCTCCAACGATAGGGCGGCGTTCTGGATCCGGCCGGGTTTGCCCGAGAAGTCTTCAGTACAACCTGCAGGTATGAGCGAATACCCTAGCCACGACAGTAAATGGCTAGGGTTGTCTTTTTAATCAGCAAGCGTTGCATTCTTATTGGTAAATGATTTTACACCCATTATGCACATCATGGATCGTCTATAAATTACGTCACGAATATTCAACCATATCTAAACACTCCTCCCATACGGCCTTGCACCGATTGCGCTAGGCGAGCCATTTCCCCTGGTCACACTGTTTAACGTAACGTTTCAAAAAGGTACCATCTGTTAGGCTCTTGACTGAGCCGGAGGTGCCAGACGAAATATGGACGCGTTTCTTGTCATGACAGGATGCCGACGGCGTTCGGTTTCAGGACTGTAATACAGTGAAATGTTTTGCAGCCACACCTGACACCCCCTCCCCCCCCGTCCTTCAAGACTTGAACACCCTGGTTGGTTGGCTACAATCTGAGTTATCCATTTTCCTTGCTCAGATCTCCCCACTTAATTTCCGAGACTACACCCCTGCGAAATGCGGTTGCTTAGAAACCATAAAACCAATGTTATGAGTTCAGAAGCTGAGGACCATGCACATTAGGGTGTGTCATCGAGGGGGTTTATCTCTTGGAATCAACTGAGACAAAGTTTTTCCTCGGCACTAATGAATTTTCAGGCCTGTTACACTGTACCGATATTGGTATTTGTCAGTCAAGAGGAACTTTTCCGATCTGGGCCAAGAAAATCGTGTTCGATACTGGCGTCATCTATTATAAATAGTGACGTCATCTATGGACAAGCCCCTTCCCTCTTTCCATACAACCGCCACCTGATGGATAAAATGTTCCAAGTTGATTTTAAATGACCGTTGGTAAAGTATGGAGCATGCATCAACAAGGATATCAATGCCAATTTTTTAACAGATAATAAGTTCACTTTTTATGAAAAACATGATTAATTAGTGACATACGAAAATGTGCAGTTATCAAAATGTTCCAGCAGACAGCAGAAAGTTAACGGTTGCAGTTGTTTGCGCATCATTGTGATATTGATTTGTTGGCTTGTCGTGTGGGCTGTAAGAGGGTGTAAGTTTGGTTTGCTGGTACTCAAACGTTCATTTCGAATAACTACTTGGATAACCCTACAGAAGGCCACGTGGTCACGTACAAAACATTTTGTGGTAGGTCACCCGGCGCCCCTGTCCCATCAACGACTGCGGACTAATGGGGAAGCCTTAGCTCACATCAGATGGCTAAGCGAACCAAGCAAGAATCCCACTAATACCATCTTCAAGACCGTGGCAGCGGAAATCAGCGAGCTACGAGCGAAGGAAGAGATCCCCGTTCATTATATAAAATGTCACAAAAGTTATCAAGAGGGATTGCTATGAGCCATACAAAGCTATCAGCAAAATACAAAAAAGGAAAGAGAAGGACAGAACAGCGTCGCTGCCACGAAGTTCAATAAGTTTCTCGAAATCGCAAAATGTAAGTGCGAGTCCCAGCGCAGCTGCAAATGCCCAGCTGCCTACAGAGCGCCGAAGGAAGAGATTGCTTTCTTTAAAGACCAACGCATGCACCGGAGGCTTTCCCTGGGGATGTATGACCGGGCTACGACTGTGGCTAGGGAGGCTCGCGAGATCCGGAGGATGGCCAGACAACTCCAGGAGCGTCCTAGCTCAACCGCCAGTGGGGCGACGTCTTCTGCTAAGCCTGAGTCGCCTCCCCCACTGGCTGCCGAGCCCATGCTGCCTGCTGACCCAGCGTCGGCTGCTAGTGCTGAATTCAAGCCTGCTCCGGGACCGAGTGGTCTCAGCGCTGGCGAGTCAGCCGAGAGTGCGGAATCTGGCACGATGTCGCGCATGGTGGAAAGCGGCGACGCCGCCGATTTCTTTGTTCCGGATGAGGCTGCTGTCACTGCAGATCGTGCCATCATCAACGCCTTCTAACAGGACAGCAGAGGCGGACTGGCTGTTTCAGATGTCGTAGATCCTGAGAAGATCTGGCGCGCAAAAGACAGCGAGAGAAGAGACGGCGTGTCAAAATGCGGAATGAATCTACGCGTCAGGTTTGAGTAGCCTCTACTTCGATGGCCGTAAAGACAGGGCCTGCGTGAAACATAGCCACGCGAATGCCGCCGAAGAACACGTGACTGTCATCGCTGAGCCAGGCAGCCGCTACATGACTCACCTCACGCCCGAGTCCGGCCGCGCCCTGTACTTACTCAACGAGCTTCACTCCGTGAGCCAGCAGTTCGACGGTCGCGTCAAGGTCCTCGGCTGCGACGGCACGGCCGTCAACACAGTGATGACGGGTGGAGTGTGCCGGCTGTTTGAGCTGGTCACTGAGTCACCTGTGTACTGGTTCATCTGCCAGCTGTGCGGTAATGAGCTAAATTTACGTCACCTACTGCTGAGCCTGGACGGCACGACTGCGGGACTGAAATCTTTTTCTGGACCCATCGGCAAGATCTGCACCGGAGAGGTCTGGAAAAGGGACGTTGTGGCATTCAAGCCTGTGCCAGGGCATGTGCCAAACCTGCCGGTCGACCTGGTCCAGCAGCTGAGCACCGACCAGCAGCTGCTGTACCCGCTGGCCTCAGGCGTACAAAACGACTCCGTCCGGACCGCGACAGCTCGGCGGCGAGTCGAACCACTGAACCATGCTAGGTAAATATGAAAGCATGGTGTCTTCTGCTTCCGCACGTTTTTAGCTGCATTGGCGGGAAATACTATGCATATTGATAAGACAATAATCATAGCCTTATTCCGCGCAGAATATCGAGGAAAATGGAGACATAGATATATTGATATTTCGGCAATATATCTTTACGTAAACCAAACTACGTTATTAGTACGTTCGCTAAACAAGGCCAATGCTATAAGTACTATCCTGTCTTCGAATTATGAATTCGAATTTGAATTTTGAGTTTCAGCATTCGAAGCATGCATGCTGAAACTTTCTCACGCATCATTTGGCATTTCATGTACTCACCGTTCAGCACTTACTCATTACCATGGGTTGTGCCATAGTATGTCGTATCATTTACTCGTTGGTTTATACCTACGAGTATACTTGCTGATAAGTGTTGCTGTTGCGTTAGAATTGAAATAATTTTCGTGTGACCTAGTGCTCAGTTCGGGACGAATTAGTCTAATTGTTCTTGTTCTTTTGTTTTCAGATGGTTGACACTGGCCGCTCGCCTGCTCCGAGCTTACATCTCCACCGAGACTCCAGCGGGGCTCTCAAGGACCTCGTCCAGTACGTGGTTGGCCACTATGTGCCGGTGTGGTTCTCCATTCTACAGAACAGCAGCTGTGACGTGGACTCACGCAACCTGTTCCGAAGCATCACGCTGCTCCGCGAGCTGCCGCAGCGCACACGGACCACGGTGCAGCCAGTCATCCAGCGCAACGGGTACCGGGCCCATCCGGAACAGCTGTTGCTGGCCGTGGTGGCGGACGAGAACCGTGTGGTCCGCGAACAGGCGGTTCAAATCATCAGCGCCACGCGTGAGCAGCAAACCGAGGGGCCCAGAATCTTCGCCATCCCAACGATCAATTTTGAGGCCGTGAGCTACACGAAACTGATCTCCTGGAGCGAACTAGTCACGCAACCCCCACTCCTACGAGACCTCAGCGACGGCGAGCTGCGAAGCATAGTGCACGCTCCATTGCCCATGCCGCCTTATTCGGTTCATACCCAAGCGGTGGAGAGGGCCATGCGCACCGTCACCGAGGCATGTTCAGCAGTGATGGGAGAAGAGGCGCGGCATGGGCTCATCACGGCCAAGCTCATGCACCGACATATTCTCCCCACTGTCAACTCCAAGAAGGATCTGCTCTGAAGGTAGGCAGGTTGTTATTAACTGATCACATCCTCAGAGGTGTTATACTCCCGTTTCAACCTAAAGCTACTCTACAATCCGTCAAATTCATGTTTATCTTTATGTCGAAATTGGGCCCATTGGAAATTGCAAATGCATGCATGGATACAACATGCACTGTTTCACTTTTAAGCAATTTCGTGACTATTGTGCTTCCATCGCAGCCCCCTTAAATGTGTCTGCCGCAGGTGGTCGTGGCAAAAGGCCCCAGTCCGGCAGCCGCCGCCGCCGCACCATTGCGTCCGCCCGCTGCGCAGATGCAGGACAGTCTTTCGAGAGGAGAGGCCAAACAGCGCACCGCTGGACCAGCACTCGGCGCTTCTACAAGCAGCACGTACTGTCTCTGCCTTCTGGTTCAGCAGCACGACGGCACGCACGTTTAAGACGTTCAGCCCGCAGAACGGAGACGACACCGCCGCAGGTCAACCAACCTGGCAGAGGCTAGTGCAGCTGTGCCCGGGCACGCACCGCAGAGCAGTGTGGGGCCAGCGCCGCACAGCCGAGAACATCTACGGCTGGGGCTGGGGCTTCAGCAAAAGAGCGGCCCGGTTGTGACGGTACTTTTGCTCTTGTGCGACCTCCGCC